CCTACATTTTGTGGATTATCATACTGCACAAGAAGGGTTGTTATTATTGTATATSAGTATTTGTTTGACAGTAAGTGTTTTTATATCCGTTACTATGCAAAGAAACACCTAATCATATGGCTTATTGACATCCTTATTGAGGATGAAGGGGTGTCGGTTTTAAACAAAACTTATTCTAACGTATACATAGTTTATGTTAAGAAAACTTAGCAAGAAGCCGATCATCGCTTTTAAATAGTTATACATAACTCTGATAGGCAGGGTTGTACAAACTATAAACGGGACCACTTGTTGTCGTAGGTCTTCGGTTTTCTGTTGAAAAACACACACACACAACGAAGAATCAGAAATTAAGTTGTTAAACACAGAGCTTTTAGGCGAGTACAACCAAGAAAGATACATAATAAGAATTTATCAAACTTCTTTTGTGTACTAAACACGTCTGCAGTACTCAAATTATGGGTGGATCTCGCCAGCTAAACATAGTCATCAAACCACGCAATTTCAAAGGACAAAGATCTCACAAAWTAAATATATGACAATTATAATAATAATAGTGATGATTTTTCGTAAACACCGACGAATAGTGCTCAATACACATTTSTGTAGAGCGGTATAGACTTAGTAAAGTATTCAGGAGACGACACACATATTCGCTGCAACTCTGAGTTTCGTGCTCACGCACGTGAGCACGAAATATGTGTGTCGTCTCCTGAAYATTTTACTAAGTCTATGACAATTATATATATCATAGGACTTAAAAAACACATTAGTTTTTTCATTTACTGGCCCACATCCTAGGAGAGAACACAGGTCGTCCGCTTCAAATGCGATAAACACTGTACAAGTTTGAGTATAATTTATAGTAAGGTCTTTAGGAACATAAAATTCGAAACTTTGAAGCGCTTCTTTCAGACTCGAAAAATATTTTTGAAATGACCATGACTCAAAATTCCTTTGAACTAACTTAGTGAAAACATATTTTGCAGACATAAAGTTCCTGACTAGGGCTGCTGATTTACAAATGATATATTTATGTTTGTGAACTG